AGAACAGAATTACAAAAACTGTCAAAAAGAATAAAATTCTCCTTAAACTTCTGCTGTTTCTGGAGCTAAATGTCCATGAGTGGAAACATTAATATTTTTAAATAGTTCTATTGAGGTATAGTTTACATACCATACATTCACATCTTTTAAGTTCAGGGAGCCATAATTTTAATGTCATTATATAATAGTCACAAGAGCTATTCTGACTCTACAGTAATGCTTCACATGTAGTTAATATACTAAGTATTTTGTTGTTATATCAATAAGATGATCCCAAACATTGGTCACAATTTTGATGAGAAAGACTTTAGGATCTTGTTAGGAAACGTGTCAGTGGTATCACTCCCGTCGTACATTATTACTCAAGTCTACTTTTTATTCAGATCAAGACTCTCCTGTTAGGCTGTGAGACACAACTTTCCACCCACACAGGAACTCATGAAATCTCCAGGGTATGTGTTAGCAGGGAAGGTACTTCCACCTTGGAGAAAATACAAAATGCCATTTGAAGGTATATCTTTAACATTGTTTTTTAAAAATTAAGAATAAATGAACAGATTACATCCAGCAGATAAAGAGCTTTTGTTACATTATCTTAAAAATGGTCCTTACTCTTTAGGTTCTGTAGAGAATATTGACTCAGAGACTGAAGATTTGGTTTTGGGTCCTGTGGAACTACTTACAAGGCTCTCAGGCCTCATCTTGGTTCACTCATAATCTCTGGGGCTTAGTGTCCCATCCATGAAATTGGGACCAGGATAATTGCCCTGACTAATTTAGAGAGTTTTAATTAGGAGCAATGGAAATAATGTAAGGAAAAAGTGCTTTGTTAACCACAAAGTGCTGGTCAATTGTAAGGTATTACTTTTGTTATCACAAATCAAGAAAATGTTCTTTATTAATCAAAATTATTTGCAAATAGTTCTAAGTGTCTATCTGAAATTTGAGTCTCCCTAAAACCGAGCTCCTCTGCTGAGTTTGTAGTTCACCTCTCTATCCAAAATGTTCTTGCCTTTCTTGTCCAATCCTATTCCCCTCAAGATTGAGGCGTATCAAAGAAAAGGGGATTAAACTGAGCAGGACACTGTGGGGCCCTTCTGGGGCCCTAAACCTTTCCATGTCCCTTGTTTCTTGCTTGTAGGAAAAAGACTTTCAGTCTCTTTGGCCTCCCCTGAGTTCCAAAGGGTAGATTCAAAGAGTTACTAATTAGGAGAGTGAGGAAATGCAGAAAGAAGCAGCAGTGCAGGATAGGGCAGGGTCCTGGTTCTTCCCTGGGTGATATACATAACAACCTGACACATGTCTCTGAGTTCTTCTACAGGAACTAAGGCTCCCACCCAGGTGGAGGATGGTAACTCAAGGCTGAGCACAAGCATGTGGACCCAGACTGGTTGGAACCAGAAAGCCAATGACTGAGATTCTTGGGACACCACCCAGTTACCTCACCACCAACCAATCAGAAGAAAGTCACACACCCTGCAGCCCTCCCACAAATTTTGCCTGTAAATATTCTTACTCCAAAATTGATTTTGGCAGGTGAGAGGACCTTGGTTCTTGTCTTCTCTGGAGAAAGAATTCCGCAAAGAGACCAAGATTATAAGGCACATATTAGAAGCACAGTACGTGTGGGAGAGTGCATCAAGAAGCAGTTTATTTAGGGCAGGAGCAAAAGTTACACACTTGGAGAAGAAGAGCATGGATGTCCTTGAGAGTGAGGAACACACGATAGGGACAGCCTAGGTTGTTAATATGGAGTTAATCTTCCAGATTTAGATGAGGGTGCCTCCCCTTTCCCTCCCCTATCATCACATTATCTTCAATTTCTTATTTGGGCTTCCACCAGGCACCATTTTGAATCTTTCCCATGAGCATGTAAGTGAAAACCCACGGGGTGGAGGTGGGTAAAAACTGCAATGCTAATGATATTATAATGATATTACAATGTGTCCAAGGCTACTAGAGGACAGCTAGAGATGCCCTCTGTGTGTGTGTCAGGCTGGGAAACCTCCTTGACCACAAGAATGTGGAGGCTGAGGTGGGCCTCCTCATCTTTCATCTGTTTAGGGCTCATCATACTAATAGTAGTTTATCTCAAAGGGTCAGCATGAAACCTGCTGCAACAGTTTAACCTGAAGCCTATCTACCTCTTACTGCAAAGTGCATGCTCCACAGTTTCCATGGTCAGAGTTTCTTGCTCAGATGTTACAGATTTTCTGTTTTAGATGCCATTTCTCCTTGTGTCATGGCCTCATTTAGTGCAAAACTGGGAGACGACTTTGCCTTCTGCCTAATGTCTATACATAAGGAGGCTGTTCTTGTACCTGGCTCAAGCTTTCCTGCCTCCAAACCATTGGAGAGTTTGGGCATTTTGAGCATGAGCTGCCCGTTCACCTTGCTTGGCCTTGCAATAAACCTTTCTCTGCTCCAAACTTGGGTGTTTCAGTTTGTTTGGCCTCCATTTGCATTGGGCACATGAACTTGGGTTGACAACATATCTAAACTTGGTGCTATATATTCAGGATAAACACATGTGGCTCTGAAATGGACACCCGTAGGGCTTTTGTTCCATAGGGATAATGAAGAGCTGGGATGGATCTCCTACCTTCACCTTCAACTCCATGTGCTTTCTTCCTGCCACTTCCCATTCTGAATTATTACGTTCTTTATTATTAGCAGTTTATTTATTATCACATTAAAAAATAACAAAAACACCTAGTAAGTCACCTGAAGAATGTCCATATTTCTTTAGATAAAATGAGGTAAATTTGTGCCTCTAAATAATTAAGCTTAAAAATAAATAAATAAATAATTAAGCTTAGCTATGGGACAAATAGACTGCATAAGTTGTAAAGCAAGTAAAAGGTTTTAGTAAAAATTGTAATTAAGTAAAGATAAAATCATAGTGGTAAAGCTAGTGCCAAAAAATATTGTTCTCTGATGGTGGCATCACAAGACTCAGGGCTTGTCCCTAGCACTTCTATGGACTTGATCAAGCTATACATGTTTTTCTTAAAATTTTTCCATAAAATTCAGCTAACACTTCTAACATATTACAAAGCACATTAGGTATCTTGGACATCCCGAAACATAGCAAGCTTATTCATACTTAGTTTGGATTAATTTAGACTTGACTCCCTACAAGCCTTCCTGTCACAATCTCATATTCAGTAGATCACAAAACACCATGAATATTTCTCTGCAATATCTTCTAAATTAATTTTTTATTTCCTTATCTATGGCTATTTTGGATTTCCAAATCTGTCTCCCATACCTCCCCAATATACCCATCCTGCAAAGGGATGTTGAGATAACTTGCATACATCTGTCTTTACCATGGCTCTTTCCTGCTCAGGAACTGTCTGCATCTCATTCTTGATATAAATCAAATCTGTTACCTTTCATGTAAGTTTTGCATCCTTCTATACTTCCTCTGTCCCATTTCTCATAGCCAATCAGTAGACTATCCAGTTTAGTCAATTTGGCTTCATTAACGTGAGCATGGGGTCACTGTGCTTGTCCTTCCATTTGTATGTTTGCTTAGAACTTTTGGAATTAAGATTCCTTCTATTTTTTTCATTGATTCATTAATTGAACGAATACTTAATGAATGCCTGTTCTATGCTAGGCACTCTTCTAGGTATGAAGATACACTGGTAATATGAGAGATCAGGCCCATTCTCAGGGAAAAATAATAGCCAATATATAAACAAACAATAAATAAACAAAATAGGACAATGATATATCATGGAGAAGTAAAATATGATAATGTGATAGAGAATGATCGGAGGGAGGGATAGTTTTGTGCTGGTCTAAGGGAGTCCCATTCTGAGGAGGTGAGACAATGACAAGAAGGAGGCAGCCAGATGGAGACTGAAGGCGAAGGTCCTCCAGCTGAAAGACATAGCATGAAGGTCTAGAAACAGAAATGAGCTTGGCGTGTTCAGAAGATAAAAGTAGGTTAACTGTAGTGAGTGAGGAGGAAGAGAGATGGTCTGAGGGGGCGGGGCCAGATTATGTAGGGCTTTATAGCTCATGAGGAAGGGTTTAGTTATTTTACATGTCCTGAGAAGTCACTGGAGTGCTTTTGGTAAGAAACAGGAAGATCTAGTGACCATCTCCTCCCCCCGCGTCCTATGTGCTTTCTCTCCAGCCCAAGGTACAGTGATGATCAGTTCTTTGAACGTTGCACTTTGTTTTTGATCATTTTCTAGTGTGGAGGTGGAGGAGAACTGTTTGGGGCTTTCTAAACTACATGTGCTCTCCCCTGTCTTCCAGGGGAGCCTCTGATTCCCCACTGCCCCACTCTTTGCAATCAGCCAGTGTTAGCAGTGAGTCATACCTTCTGATGTGTCCTGGGAGAAAAACTTTGACAAATCAGTTTTCTATCCATCTCATGCGTGTATGAGACATAGAAATGTATGAGTAGCCACAGTGGAAGGAACTGAAGGACAGAGAGCTTCCTTCCTCTTTATTTGGTGTATTCCTGGAGCCCATCATATACCACTTATGCACGAGGACATGCTCAACGAAGTAACTTATTTATAAGACAACATTCCTTTGTTTATTTTCTTCCCACCCAACAGACTCACATTTTGTTTTATATTAAAGTAGTTCAGAAACCAAACTGTACAGTTTTGCTGGGGTCCACCTAGAGAGGAGAGGCTCCTTTCTAAGGGAGCCCAAACCCAAATATAAAAGCAAATCACAAATGTGAGCCCTTGTAAACCCTTGTATGGCGAACATCTCTGGCAACACTCTCAACACCATGAATTTAAGATAGTCTATTTTTTCCTGTAATGAGATGTAGTGATTCATTTTCATTATCATAAATGCTGTGCTGATCCATTTCTAGTTGCCTTTATCTGTCCGCCAGTCATCTAGCAAGTCTCCATAAAAATATTTTAAATAAGTGTCAGTTTGTGTTCCTAGTTTGTGCGAGTAGGGGACCAGGTAGAATGCAAACAACTTGCCACATTCTTTCCTAATAATGTCACACTTACTAAACAGTTGATCCCTGCTCCACACACGTCCCACCGTTGCCACATTTCATCAAGCGACAGGGAGAAGCATCACACTGGCCAACGCTGCGCCCAGCATTTGGGTGGCCCTCAGGCGTCCCCAGGCTTCTGAAATGTCCATTCTTCTTAGTACGAACTTGCAGAGTAAAAATACAACCTTGAAAAGAGAAAAAACTACTTCAGTTTAAAAAATGGAAGAAATGGATAAAACAAGAAGACAATTATTTTTCATTTTTAAAGGAACATTTTTCAAAATAAAGTAATACATGTTAATTTAATGGAAAAAAAACAGAAGCACAGGGTGAAAAATAAAGTCATCTACCATATCACCACTCCAGAGAAAACAGTTATTAACATTTTGAGAAATATATATATATATATATATATATATATACACACACACATACATATATATACAGAGTTTTTTCTATGCTTAGTTGTATTTTCTTTTAAACAAAAGTAGAATCTTGCATGAAATATTTAATATATATATTGTACCAAAAATTTGTAGAGCATTAATACCTTTAACTCTTTTCTCATAGCATTAACTATTTTTCAATGATAGCATAATAGTCTCTTAGATCATAATATACTTTAAATTTCAATTATTGAACTATTGACTCATTTCTTTTTTTTGGTATTAAAAATAATGCTATAAGAAATTTATTACATGTATACCATGTGCATTTGCTAAGTATTTCCTTAGTACAAATTTCCAGAAGGAAAACTACTAGGGTAACAGATATGGGTGCTTTGCAGCATGCCCAAGTGTCATGGATATTTTGCACAGTTATGTCTCCCGCACCAAACACAGGGACACTCGCCTCTTCACAGGCACCACAATGCAAGACTTTATTGTCTGCTTTATTTTTAAAGGAAATAAATAATAAAATGCCTTTGCTATTTTTATTTTTTAATAAAATAAAATTTTTAATAAAATCTTTAAAGTAATTATTTTTATTAATATATTATAATATATCATATTAATATTAATTATATATAATTAATTATAATTATATTATAAATATATATATTTTATATTAGAAATATTTATATATTTATAATATATTATATAAATATATAAATAATATATAAATATATATTATTATATATAAATATATAAATATATATACATAT